AACGACAAGCCCTACCCTGGAAATCAACAGCCCAACCTGGGAAAGGAAAAGACCGCTTCCCGGAAACCGCCATCCCCAAGACCGGAAGACTCTACCTGGAAACGCGACGCCCCTGCATCCGCAGCGCCAGTACCCCCGAAACTAGAACCCCATCCTCCTCCTCCTCCTCCTCCTCCTCCTCCTCCTCCTCCTCCTCCTCCTCCTCCTCTCCCTCCCCCCTCCTCTCCCTCTTCCTCCTCCTCCTCCTCCTCCTCCTCCTCCTCCTCCTCCTCCTCCTCCTCCTCCTCCTCCTGGCCCTCCTCCTGGCCCTCCTCCTCCAAGGCTCGCGAAGCGTAAGGGGTGGCCCGATTTCCCCACGCACGGCCTGCGCCGCTGGCGGGCCCCGCTTGGGAGGGCCCGCCCAAGCCCAAGCGGCCGCGCAGGCCGCCGTGCATGAGCAAATCCCGAGCTCCGGAAACGGCCGAGAAATGGCCCCAAATAGCCCGAGATTGCCCCAAGATAACCTCAAAGGCGCCAAGATGACATCCAGAATGACCTCCAGGTGCCCGGCTGCCCGCCGAGCCATCAAAGAACCCCCCCAAGAAGCCAAAATAGCCCCAGAACTTTACGGGGAATCAATGTTTGCGTATGTCTTCGCTTTGTCGCTCCCGAAAAGCCTCGGACGCTTCAAGAATGGCCCCAGTACGGCCCAAGAGAGCCCCAAGAAGAGCCCAACAGAGCCTCAAGAGATCCCCAAGAGCGCCCAAGAGCGCCCCAAGGGCGACCCAAGGAGCCCCAAGACGCCCTTTTTGAGCCCCCACAAGAACAATCTGAATTGGGGGCCCCCCTCCTTTTGAGCCACGTGGCCCAAGATGTCCCAAATGAACCTCTCAGACCCCCCCCGAATGTCCCAAAAGCGCCAAGATGGCCCGAAAATATCCTCAGGAGGGCCCCCAGGGAGCGCCAAGAGAACCCCAAGAGAGCCCCAAGATGGCCCCAAGAGACCCCGTGCCTTCATGATCGCTATCAACATCATCAGCATCAGCATCATCATCATCGTCATCATCATCATCATCATCATCATCATCATCATCATCGTCGTCGTCATCATCATCGTCATCGTCATCGCCATCTTCATCATCCTCATGGCTATCATCAGCATCATCATCATCATCATCATCAGCAGCATCATCATGATCATTATCATCACTATCATCACCATCACCATCATCATAATCATTATCATCATCATCATCGCCATCATCGTACCATCATCATCATCATCATCATCATCATCATCATCATCATCATCATAACTAGCGAGGGCGAGTGCGAGGACAGCGTGCGTTGATAATATTGCGTCATACGCATCACATCTCACAAATACTGCCCTGGGTGCCACCTAGACTTATCTACTCGTGGAACAACGAAAGACGAGATATGAGCCTTCGGACCAACATTCTCAAATTCCCCTTGGCAGCGAAGAGCGCCCAGGTGCACCAAACAACACTCATTGGGCCAGGGAGGAGGAGGCAGGAAGGGGGAAGGGGCGGCGGAAGCAAGGGCAGTAAGGGCGGCGGAAGCAAGGGCGGCGGAAGCAAGGGCGCAGGGGGCAAACGACGAAGAACATTCATATTTGGTGAGCGGCAACACCCTCGCAGCTCTTCAGAGAACACGCGGAAAGAAATCATGCACGTGCGGCCCGACTGTTAGACAAGCAGACACGCCCCCCGCCTGTCGACACAAGATCATATGATTCAGTATCCCGCCGAGGCTGGCTTCCGCACCCGCAGCAGCGTCAATGCATGCCGCTTGCGAGCCTCGCGCAGGCGACATCCCATTCGGGCCACTACAATACCTAGAACACCCGGCTCGCACCCAAGTTCCCTCCATGCCCTGTGTTGTCGCCCTGCAGCCTACGCCTCGCCGCGTGCGCAGTGACCGCGCGCGAGGCAGGGCACGCGCGCCCACGCGCGGCACCAGCCCTCCGGGCGACAGGTGGTCTAACGAGATTAGTTCTTCGCTCTTCCAAAAACCGCCCCATCCCCTACGCGACAGGCGACAGACCCAGCCAATGCCAACACCCGCTGCCCCCCCCCCCCCCCCGACATCCCTGTCACAAAAACCATACATAACGCACTCGGCCTCCATATTTGGAGCATGCGCGGCCAACCCGATGCGCCCCCCCACGCCATCCCTGTCACAACAACAATACAACATACACGGTTGGGCAAAATCTAAAATCATGTTCGCGAGGCCCGCGAAAACATTGTATTGTTTTTGACAAGGGTGGCGGGGGTCTCAGCACATTGTCTCACCATCCCTGACGACACAACAATGCAAAATACACCTCGCGGCTAAATCTGGATAGTGCGCGGCCACCCCGCGATCACTGCGAAGGTGTTTGGACAGGGACGGCGGAAGTGGTGACGCGTGGCCTGCTGCGAGCAGACCCGTAAGCAGGCCCACCAGACACGATGATGGGCATTGGCTTTCGACAAGAATGGTGGGGGCCTATCTGTGTCCCTATGCGTGCTGTCGCGTGCGCAGGCGCACCTGACACACTGTGCGCGTGCCCCGAACGTGGCGCACCTTGGCGCGGCTGGATATGCGGCGCACCTGGCGCACGTGGATCACGTGGCGCATCTGGCATACCAAGCGTGCCCAGCACGCTTGAGCCACAGGGATGCCTCGCGCATCTGGCGCGCGTGGCGCGCCTGGCGCGCGTCGCCCCAGCGTTGCGCAAATGGATATGTTTTGGTCCCCAGTGGCTGTCCATCCAGAGACGAACGCTGAACATGCTCAGGCTCGGGTGTTACTTGTGTGTTGGGAGGGCGGGTGGGAGTGAGCTGGGCGACTTGCTATCTAGGGGGTGTCTTGACCCTTCCCCCTCCCTCCCCCCTGAACCTGGGCGGGGAGGGGGCCGCGAGTGGTCAGGAAGTTTGTTTTTTGTCGCACAAAGGGCCTCGGAGAACCCAGGATGGCCTGCAAGATCGCTCAAGATGGCCCAACATGGCTCAGGATAGCTAACATAATGCCTCCAAGAGGCCACATGGGAGCCACAAGACGGTTCCATGTGCCCTCGGAGACCCCTCAGGACCCCTCCAAGATCCCAAAATCAATCAGAAACCTATGGAAACTCAACGATGTGCCTTCTCGACTTGTCGCTGTATATGCATATTTGACGCCCCAAGATGGCCCCACGATGATCAAATGCAGCCCAAAAACACCAAGATGCCCCTAAGACGACCCCAAAGACCGCCCAAGAGCGCCCCGCTCCCTCCGGGCTTCGAGCGGTGTCTCCCCCACTGGGGTGGTAACTTGGTGGGGGTCTCGAAGGAGACGGGGATGGGGACGGCGATCGGTCAAACGACACCGAGAACCACGGTCACGGACAGGCACGCCGCCGCGGAGAGGGCGGCGCAGCTCCTCGCGCCCGCCGCCCAGGCCCAGCGCGCCCGCCGGGAGACCCAGGCCCCGGCGCACGACGTCCAGGCAGCCGCGGGCGCCCTCCTGCGGGCGGCCCGAGGGGGCGCCGGCGCTGGGGCTCGGCCACGCCCTCTTCCTCTCTCCTCCCTCCTCCCGCCTTCTCCTCCTCCCTCCCTCCCTCTGCAGCTGCTCCTCCCCCTCCTCCTCCTCCTCCTCCTCGTCCCCCCCTGCTCCTGCTCCTCCTCCTCATGCTCCTCCTCCTCCTCCTCTTCCTCCTCCTCCTCCTCCTTCTTCTCCTCCTCCTCCTCCTCCTCATCCTCATCGTCATCCCCATCCTCCTCCTCCTCCTCCTCCTCCTCCTCTCCTCCTCCTCATCCTCCTCCTCCTCCTCCTCATCATCATCATCATCATCATCATCATCATCATCATCATCATCATCCTCATCCTCATCCTCATCCTCATCCTCATCCTCATCCTCATCCTCATCTCATCTCATCCTCATCCTCATCCTCATCCTCATCCTCATCCTCATCCTCATCCTCATCCTCATCCCTCATCCTCATCTCATCCTCATCCTCCTCATCCTCATCCTCATCCCACTCCTCATCTGCCCCTCTGCTCCTCTTCCTCCTGATCCCTAATCCTCCTCCTCCTCCTCCTCCCTCCTCCTCCTCCTCCTCCTCCTCTCCTCCTCATCATCATCATCATCATCATCATCATCATCATCATCATCATCCTCATCATCCTCATCATCCTCATCCTCATCCTCATCCTCATCCTCATCATCATCATCATCATCATCATCATCATCATCATCATCATCATCATCATCATCATCATCATCATCATCATCATAACCAGCATCATCATTATCATCATCATAATCATCAACATCCTCATCCTCATCCTCATCCTCATCCCCCCGTCCTCCTCATCATCCCCGCTGGGGTTCGGCTACACGAAAGGCAAAACATAATCGCGTCGTAAAAACAAATCCGGACAGGAGGTTTTTGACAATTTTCGGCCTCGGGGGGGCCTCGCTGGGCCTCGGGACCGACATACAACGACTCGGGAAGAGAAACGGCTCCCGGGAAAAGGGTCGGGACTTCCAGGGACGCCGTCCAGAAAAAATCAGCACGTCGCATGTCTGTCGGGTCGGGCGAAAGGGGGGGATAGCAAAGGGGGGGTTTGAGAATCAGCTCCCTTAGCTGATTTTCCCGGCGCCTCCCGGCGCCGGAGGCGACAATGTATCGAGGAATGGGCCCCTCGGTGAGGCCGACACCAGCTGCATGCAGCAAATTTCGTAACCCCCCCTTTCCCAATCCCCCCCTTTCGCCCGACCCGAGTCTGGGAGGGTGACCCTGGGCACGAGTGGCCTTCGGTGCACGGCTTTTTGAAGGCCACGGGGGGGCCGAACACGAGCGCGCACGACACTCCTATCGCACCGCACGCGACGATCGGGGGGCCAGCCCCTGCAGCCGGGGTGTTAGTGAACCGGGTGGTAGCTAAGGGGGCCTCCACGAGCGAGTGCAGGGTGACAGGGCATTTACCTCGCACTGGTGCGTGATGAATCGGGACGACAAGATCATCGATACATCATCATAACTCCGGGCGGGGGGGCACCTCGCACTTGTGCGCGGCAAACCCAATTTCGAAGGTACAAGTGAAGACGCACCCTTAGCTACCACCCCGTTTACAAAAACCACGTTTGCAATGGTGGCTTGGTCTTGATGAAAGCAACAGAACCACCCCTATCCTTACCTTAGGGGAGGGGGCCGGAGCCAGGAGGGCCACACACATCAGGGATAGGGGGTCTGCTTTGCTGACGTGTCAAATGAAGCCACCCATATGTTTAGGGATGACCCTGAACACCGGAGGTCTAAGTTACGCGGCGAATTCACAGTGTTGTTATGCTTGGGCGTTGTACGATGCTTAATTCCATCTCGTGGGGGCGCATCTTTTACTTCCGCCAGCCTTCCACCCCAGACATCCAGCTGCTCCGATTTTTCTGGTGCGTGGACCCAGAAAGTCCGGACCACTTCTCCAGGGCCTGTTCTGCGTCCTGCATCCTCTGTCGACGTTCCCGAGGCCTGGCGAGGGCCCCCGGAGGCCGAAAGCTGCCCCCATCCAGCCTTAAGTCGGGCGTGTCCCCCAACAAAGGGATTTTCGACGAAAAATGAAAAATCACTAAAAATTACCTCAAAAGGGTAAACAAATACTCAAAAAATAGTCCCCAGACTATTTTGGACTATCTTTTGACTATTTTGGGGGTATTTCCCCAAACAGCTTGCTGAACAGGGTGTTGCTGTGATAAAAACTAACTCCGGCCGAAGGAAAGGGGAGCATAGACATCCTCACAAAAATCTAATGATCCGGGCCGTTTCGCTTGAGACATCCCCACAACTCTCGTTTCTGACTTGGCCAGGATTGGCCGTTTCGCCTGAGACATCGTCGAGAAATTGCGCTCCGGGACGCCGCGCGAGAGGTGGTCTGGGCCGTTTCGCCTCAGACATCCTCGAAACTCTAAGCCCCGAGGTGCCGTGCGAGAGGTGGTCCGGCCCGTTTCGCCTGAGACATCCTCGCAACTCCGGGCTCCGAGATGACGCTTGCGAGGTGGTCTGGCCCGTTTCGCTTGAGACATCCTCGAAACTCTGGGCTCTGAGATGCCGCGCGAGAGGTGGTCCGGCCCGTTTCGCCTAAGACATTCTCGAAACTCTGAGCTCTGAGATGCCGCGCGAGAGGTGGTCCGGCCCGTTTCGCCTGAGACATCCTCGAAACTCTGAGCTCCCAGATGCTGCGCGAGAGGTGGTCCGGACCCGTTTCGCCTGAGACATCCTCGAAACTCTGGGTTCTGAGATACCGCGCGAGAGGTGGTCCGGCCCGTTTCGCTTGAGACATCCTCGAAACTCTGGGCTCTGAGATGCCGCGCGAGAGGTGGTCCGGCCCGTTTCGCCTGAGACATCCTCGGAACTCTGGGCTCTGAGATGCCACGCGAGAGGTGGTCCGGCCCGTTTCGCACAAGACATTCTCGCAACTCTGAGCTCCCAGATGCCGCGCAAGAGGTGGTCCAGCCTGGGCCAGAAAACCACATGTTACATATCCCCCCTGGAACCCTGGGAGCCCCAGGAGGCCCCAGAGAGCTTCAGGAGGCCGCAGGATGCCCAGGACAGGCCCCAGGGGTCCCCAGGAGATTCCCAGGAGGCTCCCAGGAGGCCCCAGGAGGCCCCCTATCAGAATGTGTCAAGTTAATACACATCCGGTGCCGATTCGTTGATTTTTCCTGCTCTTGTGCCCCCCACACTGTGGGGGGGGCAGACGGCCACATGTTAGATATCCTCCCCTGGGAGCCCCAAGAGGCTTCAGGAAGCCCCATGTGGGGTCCAGGAGGCCACAGGAGGCCCAGGAGGAAGTCCCAGGAGGTCCCCAGGAGGCCCCGGGAGGCCCTAGGAGGCCCCCGCAACTCGGAGCTCTGAGACGCCGCGCTCGAGGGTGTCCAGCCCGTTTCGCCTGAGACTTCCTCGGAGCACGTTTCGCCAGAGAGATCGTCGCAACTCTGGGGTCCGAGATGCCGCGCGCGAGGTGGTCCAGCCCGTTACGCTGGAGACATCCTCGCAACTCTGGGCTCCGAGATGCCATTCAGGATGAAGAGGTGGAGGAGGAGGAGGAGGAGGAGGAGGAGGAGGAGGAGGAGGAGGAGGAGGAGGAGATGGAAGGAAGAAGGAGGAGGAGGAGGAGGAGGAGGATGTGGATGAGGGAGCAGGCAGGAGAAGGGGGAGGAGGAGGAGGAGGAGGAGGAGGAGGAGGAGGAGGAGGAGAAGAAGGAGGAGGAGGAGGGAGAAGGAAGGGAATTGCAAAAGAGGACCTAACGGGAAGCGAGTGTGACGTGGACTTGTCAGAACGTGTACGAGAGGTTGTCCGGCCCGTTTCGTTCGAGACATCCTTCCACTACTGAGCTCCAAGATGTCACTCGCGAGGTGGTCCGGCCAATTGCGCTTGAGCCATCCTCACAATGCGAAGCTCGAAGCTGTTGCGCGCGAGATGGTCTGGCTCGTTCTGCCTGAGACGTCTCGTAGCATAGGGGCTCCAATCACAACCTCTCTCATTCCTTCTCCCGCCTCCCTCTTTCCGCTTCCCGCCTGGCTCCTCTTCCCTCCTCCCTCCTCCTGCCTCCCGCCTCCCGCTGCTGCGCCTCTGGACGCAGTGGACGGGCACGCAATCGACCTTGGAAACCGCAGTGGGTTTAGAAACCCTGTTTGGGGATACTGCACTCCGGCTATGATTTTCATTCTTCGTCGAACATCCCCCTGTAGGGGGACAGGCCCGACTTAAATCCAGTCGCTCCTGTGTTTTGCAGCGTCGGACCTCAGGGACCGGCCCTCTGCCAGTGGCACCCCGCAGCTCGCTGTGCTCCCGCAGCTCCTTCGGCCCTCGAGGCCCAGGGACTTCCCCCCGGAGAGCTCCAGAGGGAGATTTTGCCGGGGATGGACAGACCTCCCTTTAGCAAGACGTGGTTTGGTGAAAACGACCTCGGGCCAAAACCTGGCGGGCGCAGGCCTGGAAAAGGACGGCCGCGGCGCCCTCTCGAGAACCGAAAACGGACAATTCACGAATCGACGTGTCAGGGTAGGGAGGTCTGTCCACCCCCGAGTTTTGGGGAGGGCGGTTTCCAGGAAGGCTCCCCCAGGGGGCTTCGCACCCCGTGCTTTGCCGAGGTTCCCAGGCCCCTGGGGCGCTCTCTGGATAACCCCCTCCCCAACAGCCCCCTGTCGAAGCCTCAGGTTCTCTGGAGCGCACCCTCTACTGTCAAGCTCTCTTCTGCTGCTGCGAACCGACACTTGGCGACGGTGCCGCCAGTGCTGGATGCGAACCAAACCCAAAGATGATCGCGTCGTCAAGCAATCAGGACAAGAGATTGTTGGCCAATTTCGGTCTCGGCGGGCCCTCGCCAGGCCTCGGGACTGTCAAATTACTCCGACGGAAGGACCCCGCATGAGAATCCTCTGGGCGAATCTGGAAAAAGCCCTCACCGTCGTCCTCGTGGTTGGTGAGGCGTCCTGGCTGTCTCTTCTGCGTATATTTCTTTTCGCCCTGGCGCGGGCCCTCCCCCCGCTCCCTACGTCGCCCCCGACCTCGTCATCATCATCATCATCATCATCATCGGGTGCGTCCCAGTGGATACGTGCCGAACACGACCCAGAGGAAACGCACAGGGTGCGTCCCAGTGGATACGTGCGGGGGCACGACCCAAAGGAAACGCACAGGGGTGCGTCCCAGTGGATACGTGCCGGGAATAACGCTCTGGGAACACGACGAACACAAAGTGGCCTACAGTTGGCTCCGGACATTCAGAGTGTGGCCCGGGAGTAACCCGAAGAACACGAAGTGGCCTACAGTTGGCTCCGGGCATTCAAAATGTGGCCCAGAAAAGGTGTTCTGGGAGCACGAAGAACACGAAGTGGCCTACAGTTGGCTCCGGGCATTCAAAATGTGGCCTGAGAATGGCGTTCTGGCAGCGCGAGAGCCCAAAAGTGGCGACAGTTACAGGAATTGGATGACCCGCTCGGATTAGTAACATGATCCGCGGGCCCCACATGGAGGGGGTTCCCGCTTGAGACTTCCTCGGAGTAGTAACATGATCCGCCTGGGAATGGCGTTCTGGCAGCGCGAGAGCCCAAAAGTGGCGACAGCTACAGGAATTAGATGACCCGCTCGGATTAGTAACATCATCCGCGGGCCCCATAGGGAGGGGGTTCCCGCTTGAGACTTCCGCGGATTAGTAACATGATCCGCCTGGGAATGGCGTTCTGGCAGCGCGAGAGCCCAAAAGTGGCGACTGTTACAGGAATTGGATGACCCGCTCGGATTAGTAACATGATCAGCGGGCCCCATAGGGAGGGGGCTCCCGCTTGAGACTTCCTAGCAATTCACTCACAGACGAGGCCCAAGGCGAGTGAGTGAGTGAGTGAGTGAGTGAGTGAGTGACTGACTGACTGACTGGTGATGATGATGATCATCACACTCTCTCACGCGCACACTCATCATCATCATCATCATCATCATCATCATCATCATCATCATCATCGTCTGTGAGTTCATGAGCGTGTGAGTGAGTGAGTGCTGATGAGTCAATGAGTGAGTGAGTGAATGAGTGAGTGAGCGAGTGAGTGAGTGAGCGCACGAAGACAGAAGAGGAGAGGGGGTGAGGTGAGGAGGTTCCTGCGCGGGGTGTCCAGAGAAAACAAGAACCCCACTTTGAATGGGGGGGCACACGACTCAGGATGAAAACCCGGCCCCGGGGAAAGGGTATGGACTTCCAGGGGCGCCGTCCTGTAAACAGGCACGTCTGGGAACTGAGTCGGTTATTCTCAGCCTCCCTGCGTGGGTTCTCGTCTTGAACAGAACACTGGGGTCACGACCTCCTCCCTCTCATCCCGCATCCCTCCTCCTCTCTTGTCTCCTCCTCTCCTCTGCTGCCTCTTACCTCCTGCCTCGCCGCCCTATCGTTGCGTCGGGCACGTTCTCCTGCAGGCGGATTTTGGGAGAATGATGAAACATAATGATCCCAGCAAAGCAACCGAACAGCGATGTGTATAAGCATATCTGGAAGTCTGGAAGCATTCCCCTTAAGATTCAGGTGAGAATCCAGTTGTAGAATTCTGCTGTTCTCGCAGTCGCAGTCGCATTCGCAATGACAGTCGCAGTGGCAAAGGCCTTAGGATCCAATGGAATCCTAAGGATTCCTAGGGATTCCCTAAGGCATCCCTGGGCATCCTTAGGAATCCATAGGAACCCTTAGGAATCCTCAACCCCATGCCGAGGATAATAAAGTACCCCCCCCTTAACCTCATAGAGTTGATTCTCCACGGCCAAGAAGAGTTTGGTCGGGGGCGCGGGGCGCGGAGGCCGAACTTCATTATCACTGTGAACAGTTCGCCATCGAGGTTACTTCCTTCTTATGTTGAGATAGCAACATCAAGCGAAGCGAACACGCTTTTCTCAGGATGTCTCAAGCGAAACCAACAATTTTGGGCAGTCTCAAACGAAACGATCAATGTTTCAAGGTTGTCCCAAGCGGAACCAGCAATTCTTCGAGGATGTCTCAAGCGAAGCGAGAAACTTGTCGAGGATGCCTCAAGCGAAACAAGCATATATTCGAGGATGTCTCAAGCGAAACAAGCATACACTGAAGGACGTCTCAAGCGAAACAGTACGTTTCTTAAGGATGTCTCCTTCTCCTCTCCTCCTCATCCTCCTCCTCCTCCTCCCCTGGCGCCCTGAACTTGTTTATCGTTGTGGTTGATTATCCTGGGAAAACGAGGCAGATGAGTTACTCTACGCGAGCAGCTGAAAATCTTAATTTCCATTTAGAGCTTACAAATAATATGTAATGAGTTTTGAACTTTGGAATATTTCTTCCTCCTTTTCAGCTTCCTCTCCTCTCTCTCTCTTTCTCCCTCCGTCACTCTCTCTCTCTCTCTCTATATATATATATATATATATTTCTCGTTCTCTCTCAACCTCTTTCTCTCTTTCTCTCTGTCTCTCTATATCTCTCTCTCTGCCTCTCTTTCTCTTTTTCTTTCTCTTTCTTTTTCTCTCTCTCTCAACCGTTATCCTTCTTCCCGTGCCCCCTGAACCTTTTTTTTTTATCGTTGTGGTTGACTATCCTGGGAAAACGAAGCAGATGAGCTACCCTACACGAGCAGATGCAAATCTGAAGTTCCATAGAGCGATTGCAAATAAAATCTAATAGGTTTTGAGCTTTGGATTGTTGCTTCCGCCTCCTCCTCTCCTTCTCCTGTTCGTGTCTTCTCTCTCTCTCTCTGTTTATACGTGTCTAAATATTGTGTCTCTCTCTATCTCTATCGCTCTCTCTCTCTCTCTTTTCTCTCTCTTTCTCTCTCTCTCCTTCTCTCCATGGCCCCTCTGGACTTTTGTATCGCTGGGGTTTACTATCCATGGAGCTCTTTAAGGAGGCCGACGCAAGCGCCAACTCATTTACATGACAGATAGCAAAAGACGCATGGGAATCTATACGGAATACATAGAAATCTAAAAGGATACCAACATAATCTATCGACAACCATAAGTATGTATATAGGGATCGATCGGGACGTAGAAGATTCCGTAGGAATCTATAGGAACCCGTAAAAACCCATAAACATGCATAGGAATCTATATAGAAACCAATAGGAATCTTAAGGGACCTATAAGAACTATAAAACTGTGTGGTAATCTAACGGAACACACACACACATATATATATATATATATATAGGAATCCATATGCATCAAAAAGAATCTATAAGAATACATATAAGAATCTATGGGGACTATATAGCAACCTATAGGACACTATACATTATATAGGGAATCTATAGGAACATGTAGGAATCCATGGGAAAAAGGCTACCGGATTACATCTGGAATGTATAGGAATATATATAGGTTACGGGAACCAAAACAGACGCACCGACGCACCAAACGACTTAGGATCTCAAGAGCGCAAATGCCCCAAGAGGATGTTTCCAGCGAGACCAGCAAAAGTTGAAGGACGTATCAAGCGAAACGAGCACGCTCGTCGATGACCGACCAAACGAAACAAGCATGTTCTCTGAGGACGTCTCAAGCGAAACAAGCAAGACTGATCTCCGTAGTCATTTGGTGGCTCAAGATTCCGAGCTTTCCAAGAGCTTCACAAACCAAGACCCAAGCCGACGCGACAGAGCGCCAAGGCTCCGAGTCGAGGATGTCTTTGCCGAGCTTCTTCGACATGGATGAGATGCCCGAGATAAGCACGCAGCTACCGCTCGAGACACCCAAGGAGAGCGAGAAGCGCGAGGACCCCAAGAAGGAGGAGAAACCGCTCCAGGAGTCCAAGGGGAGCGGGAACGAGAAACCGCTCGAGGACGTCAATAGCCAGAAGCGCACCAAGGAGCTGGAGGAGATCCCGAACAGCAGTGACAACGAGGAGAAGCGAGCCTACCAGAAAGCCAAGCGCCGCAAGCCCGCACCGCAGCCAGAGGACGAGGAGCCCGAGGACGACGAGCCCGAGGACGACAGCGGCAAGCGCCCGAAGCTTGAGCCCGAGCCTGTCCGAGCGGCTCCAGCGCAAGTGGGCGCTCGAGGGTGCGCCCTAGCCTCAGTAGGTTTTCCGACAAGGCGCTGGCGCCGAGAAAACAAATTCAAGCGATGTTTCGATCGAGCGCCTTAGGATCTCAAGATTCTCAAGCGAAGCGAGCGTGTCCTGGAGGATGTGTCCAGCGATATTAGCAAAGGTTGAACGAGGTTCCAAGCGAAACGAGCACGCTCGCCGAGGACCATCCAAACGAAACAAACACGTTCTGTGAAGACGTTTCAAGCGAAACGAGCAGTAAAAAGGAACTCTCAAGCGAAGCAAACAATTATTTCGAGGATGTCTCAAGCGGAACGAGAGATTTGCCGAGGATGTCTCAAGCGAGACAAGCCATTGTTGAGGATGTCTCAGAGAGGACCAAAAGCCAAGGATGTCTCAAGATATCCTCGGTTTTCGCTCCTGTCGATCATCTCTTTATGCTGGCCTCCGGTGGGCAACATTTATAATCCCCCCGCGACCCCGAACTTTATTATCCCTGTGCGTTTATTCTCCGAAGCCTAAGGTTAGGAATTCTGATTCCAAGGGATTCCTAGGGATTCCTATGGATTCCTAAGGATCCCCAGGGAATCCTAAGAATTCCTGCGGATGCTTAACTATGCCTACGGGTTCCTAAGGGTGCCTACGGATTCCGAAGGATTCCTAGGGATTCCTAAGGATTCCTATGGATTCCTACGGATGCCTCAGCGTGCCTCAGTTTCAGCCTCAGCCTCAGACTGCCTCGGCTTGCATCAGCCTCAGCCTCAGCCTGCCTCGGCCTCAGCCTCAGCCTGCGTCAGCCTCAGCCTCAGCCTGCCTCGGCCTCAGCCTGCGTCAGCCTCAGCCTCAGCCTGCCTCAGCCTCAGCCTGCCTCAGCCTCAGCCTCAGCCTCAGCCTCAGCTTCAGCTTCAGCCTCAGCCTGCCTCGGCTTGCCTCAGCCTCAGCCTCAGCCTGCCTCGGCCTCAGCCTGCCTCGGCCTCAGCCTGCCTCAGCCTCCCCTCCACAATTATTCAATATGAATACTACTCTCCCTCTTCCCCTGATGACGTCTTTTGCGTATTCGCCCCCGCCTCCTGCGTACTGTTTTTTACACACACGATTTCCCCGGAGTTGGGTTTTCGCTTGCGTTTTTTTTCAAAATGCTGCTCTCGCTGAGGCGCCGGCCTCATTTCTGCTCCCGAATCGTTCCGGATCTGCTCCCGCTGCAGCGTGGGCCTCATTTTCGGATCGGTGTTTTGCCTCAGTCGTTCAGGATGGCGTTCTCGCCCCAGCGCGGGCCTCTTTCTCGCGCGCCCATCCGCCCGCCACCACCGCGCCGCACCACGCCCCGCCCCGCCGCACGGACACCCACCGCCACTTCCACCCACCAACGCACGCACGCACGCACGCGCACCACCACCGCGCACCGCCACCAACCACCACCGCACTACCCCACCCACCACCACCACGCTACACCGCGTCACACCACATCACACGCGCGCACGCACAGACACACGCGCACGCACGCACGCACGCACGCACGCACGCACGCACACACGCACACACAGACACACACACACACATACACACACGCACACACACACACACTCGCACACACACAGACACACACACACACATACACACACACACCACCACCGCCACCACCGCCATCACGCACGTACGCACCTGGCCCACCACCAAACTACCAAGACGCCACACCACGTCACACCACAGCACACGCGCACACACGCACACACACACACACATACACACCACCACCACCACAACCACAACCACGACCACGCACACACGCACGCACGCACGCGCACCACCACCCACTACGCACACGCGCGCGGAACCACAGGTCCGCTACGACACGCGTCCGCGGATAGAGAAAATCAGCGCCATGGTAAGGGATGGGAGGGAGGGGTAGGATGTCAGATGTTGACGCGAGCGCACCTAACTTGTCCCCCCCTCCGCTCCCCCCTTCCCCCCCCATTCAGCCTCACCTTGTCTCAGCTTCGGCCTGCCTCGGCCTCATCCTCACCCTCAGCCTCAGTCTCAGCCTGTCTCGGCCTGGGCCTGCCTCGGCCTCAGCCTCAGCCTGCCTCAGCCTCAGCCTGCCTCAGCCTCAGCCTGTCTCAGCCTCAGCCTGCCTCAGCATCAGCCTCAGTCTCAGCCTGTTTTGGCTTGCCTCGCTCTTAGCCTCAGCCTGCCTCGGCCTGAGCCTCAGCCTCAGCCTGCCTCAGCCTCACCCTCAGCCTGCCTCAGCCTCAGCCTGCCTCGGCCTCAGCCTCAGCCTGCCTCAGCCTCAGCCTCAGCCTCAGCCTCAGACTGTCTCAGCCTCAGCCTGCCTCAGCATCAGCCTCAGCCTCAGCCTCAGCCTGCCTCGGCCTCAGCCTCAAGCTGCCTCAGCCTCAGCCTCAGCCTCAGCCTGCCTCAGCCTCAGCCTCAGCCTGCAGCCTCAGCCTCAGCCTCAGCCTGCAGCCTCAGCCTCGGCCTCAGCCTCAGCCTGCCTCAGCCTCAGCCTGCCTCAGCCTCAGCCAGCCTCAGCCTCAGCCTGCATCAGCCTCAGCCTCAGCCTCAGCCTGCCTCAGCCTCAGTCTCAGCCTGCCTCAGCCTCAGCCTGCCTCAGCCTCAGCCTCAGCCTGCCTCGGCCTCAGCCTGCGTCAGCCTCAGCCTCAGCCTCAGCCTCAGCCGCAGCCTGCCTCAGCCTCAGCCTCAGCCTCAGCCTCAGCCTGCCTCGGCGTGCCTCAGCCTCAGCCTCAGCCTGCTTCGGCCTCAGCCTGCCTCAGCTCTGGCATTCAAAATATGGCACAGGACTGGTGTTCTGGGAACACGAAGGTCACGAAATGGCCCACAGTTGGCTCCGGGATATCAAAATGTGGTACAGGAATTGTGTTCTGGGAACACGAAGAACCGGAAGTGGCCTACAGTTGGCTCCGGGCATTCAAAATGTGGCCTGGGAATGGTGTTCTGGAAACACGAAGAACACGAAGTGGCCTACAGTTGGCTCCGGGCAATCAAAATGTGGCCTGGGAATGGTGTTCTGGGGACACGAAGAACACGAAGTGGCCTACAGTTGGCTCCGGGCAATCAAAATGTAGCCTGGGAGTGGTGTTCTGGGAAAACGAAAAACACGAAGTGGCCTACCGTTGGCTCCGGGCATTCAAAATGTGGCCTGGGAGCGGTGTTCTGGGGACACGAAGAACACGAAGTGGCCTATAGTTGATTCCGGGCATTCAAAAAATGGCTTGGGAATGGTGTTCTAGGGAGTCCCCGGATCCTCGTCCCCGGCACCCGCCCAAACCCCCTTGGGGAGTCCCGGGGAGTCCCCAGATTCTCCCGGGCATCCGCCCAGACGCCCCTGGGGAGTCAAGATGCTCTCTTTTGAGCCCACTAGAAACCTATCAGTCTTCGCTGTTAGGTAAGGAGAAAAAACGACGCAACACTATCCAAACATAGTCGAAACATCGTCCCCGGATTACTTTTGATTCGTTCCCGATCTTCCTCCTACGGAGAGACACGCCCGACGGTCCCCTGCCTGGGGGGCGCGGTGGGCGCCGGGAGCTGTGCAAACGGCCGCCGCTGCCGCGGGCTGCTTGGGAGGGGTCACGTCCGAGCGACGTCCTGCTCAGATCCGACGAGGCCTTCCCGTCGGCGAGGTCTGCGAGCTGCGAAGCCGTCGCCACTTTTGTGCGCGTTGGGGTGCGAACTGCGAAACGGTCGCCGCTGCCGCGGGGTTCCCGAGAAGTCCCGCGGAGCGACGTCCTGTTCAGATCAGATGAGACCTCGCCGTCGCTGGGGGCTGCGAGATGCGAGACAGTCCCCACTGTCGTGGACCGCTGGGAGGTCAAGCGGAGTGACGTCCTATTCAGATCAGACGAGACTTCCCCTTCGATGGGGGCTGCGAACTGCTAAACCGTCGCCATTTTCGTGGGCCCCTCGGAGGTCCAGCGGGGCGACGTCCAAGCCAGATCGAATGAAACCTCGCCGTCGCTGGGAGCTGCAGACTGCGACACTGTCGCCACGACCGTGGGTTCCTGGGAGGTCCAGCGGAACGACGTTTTATCCAAATCAAGTGAGTCTTCGCCGTCGCTGGAGGCTGCGGACTGCGAGTCTGTCGCCACGTTCGAAGGCTCCTGGGAGGTCCAGCGGAACGACGGGATGGCCAGATCAAAAGAAAACTCGCCGTCGTTGGGTGTAGCAAGCTGCGAAACTGTCGCCACGATCGTGGGCTCCTGGTAGGTCCAGCGAAACGACGTCCTATTCAGATCACATGAGAGCTCGCTGTCACTGGAGGCTGCAGACTGCGAGTCTGTCACCATTTTCGTGTGTTCCTGGGTGCGAACTGCAAAACTGTCACCGTTGTCGTGGGCTCCTGCGCGGTCCAGCGGAACGACGTCAGATTCAGGTCAGATGAAACCTCCCCGCCGCTGAGGGCTGCGGACTGCAAAACTGCGGCCGCTTTCGAAGGCCCATGGGAAATCCACCAGAGCTACGTGCGAAGCAGATCAGCCGAGACCTCGTCGTCGCTGGGGGCTGCGAAATGCGATAATGTTGCCGCTTTCGTGGGGCCATGGGAAGTCCAGCGGAACGACGGCCTAATCAGATCAGACGAGTCCTCGCCGTCGCTGTGGGCTAGAGACTGCGACACTGTCGCCACTGTCGACGGTTCCTGACAGGCTCACCGGAATGACGTCCTAGCCAGATCAGATGAGACCTCGCCATCGCTGGGGGCTGCGAACTGCGAAACTGTTCCCACTTTTGTGGGCTGCCGGGAGGTCAAGCGGAATGACGTTCCATTCAGATCAGACGAGACTTCCCCTTCGATGGGGGCTGCGAACTGCTAAACCGTCGCCATTTTCGTGGGCCCCTCGGAGGTCCAGCGGGGCGACGTCCTAGTCGGATCAGATGAAGCCTCGGCGTCGTTGGGCGTTGCGAACGGCGAGACCGTGGCGACTCTCGTTTGTTTCTGGGCCCAAGCCGCGAAACCGTCGC